TTTATGTACTTATTGAAAATGTATTAAAAATTATTTAATAATTTATGAGTTGATATTCCATAAGGGCATTTAAATACTGTATAACCGCGCATATATACATATATGCTACAACACCAATAAAAACATTACAGATATACGTGTATTCCATAATAAAAATTTTTTTTTAAAAAACAGCTTATTGTATTTAGTCTAACTATTTACATGTATCAGTAAGATAGAACCTTAATTGACGAACTACCAAAACTTCATGACGTTTAGACGAAAACCGACAACGGGTTGTTATAGCCATTTAAGTAAAAAGTGGTAGTCATTCTAGGATTTCTGTATAAGTCCTACAAAAGCGGTTTTTTCTTAAACGGTTTCAGAATTTTAATTAAGTGTTCACATTACAAAAGCAAAATGGAGGATAATATTAAAATCTATATTAAAAGCTTAAAAATTAAAATATGAATTAGAATAAATATTGTTTTCATAGAAAATACTGTAGGAAATATAATAATGCAACAAATCCGTATCAATTAATTAAATATTAATATTAACTGAATAATATTAACTGATATGTTACGCCGTATAGTATCTCATTGAAAAAAGAATGGAATAAAGATGTTTAACAAAGAGATGATTCACATATTTGTCAATTATATTGGATTTTATAAAGGTATTATATTTATGACTATCTAATAATCTTATAAACTTCTGTATTTTAAAGACATACAGAAAGTTAAGTCGCAAACCAAATAAATTATTTCCAATCATTTGCGGTTGTAATAGAGCACTCTACATAAAATAACATTAAGATTATTTAAACGTATAGTAATATTGTGATGCTCTCAAAACTCACTAAAATATTAATAATTCTTTATGCTATATATCCAAAATGAACTCTTTTATATTTAACATTAAAGATATTTATGCAGACCTTCCATATAAAACTTTTTAACATAAAAGACGTTAATACAGTTTTTTACAAATATATGTAGTGCTGTTATATAGCACTACATTTTTTTTTTTTTTTTGCAAATTATATTTCTGGTTTTTTAACGTGTTTGGTACTATTAGCTGGCATATATTTGTTTATTCGTTTTTTCATTTAGATTCTGTCAGCCGACACTTTTACTTTTAAATAATTTTAAATATCTACATATTCGTATATGTTTTCGTATATGTATGAGCTAAATTGATAACTGGATGCATAAATTTTAATAAAATAATGTATATGCAGAGTGACATTATTTATAATAACTACATTATTTTTTTAATTCTGTTGAAATCTTTGATATTAAAAGTTTGAATTGCAATAATGATAAATTGTATAAGATACCATATAATTATTTAAATACCTCTGCTATTGAAAAGAACTCTGCTATTTAATATAATATAAATATAATAATATATATAATAATGTATGATTTATATATATATAATATAATTTTATATATATTTATACATATAACATATATATATATATATATAATATATTTAATATAATATACCAGTAATATATAATAATATAATATTTTTAAATTTTGTATATAAAATATTTAGGGAATTATTGTCATATATTCATGTTTTTTTCTTGGAAATGTGTTTTATGATTATTAATATATGTCACTCAAATTAAATTTAAGGCAGATACTTAAACACTCATGATATGTAAAATAAAATTAAAATTGTCCGGCAAGTTATCACGTGTTGAGTTCGCACTGTGCATAAACCGCAATAAAAATAAATTCAATAATTTTACGGATATGTTTTGGAAGTATAGAGTCCACATACTTGTTTTATCAATTATGCATACACTTTTGTCTGTATGTAAGTGCATATTTTATTGAGTGCATGCACTTAAAATGCACAAAACACACGAAGCTGCTAGTAGCCGCACTAACACGATTCAAAGTGCAGAAATACATATGTGCTAACATACAATTATATACATACGTAGATACTTACGTAAACAAACGCTGACGATTTGATTTTGGTTTGGTTTTATTTATGAACATTGTACGATGTTTTTATTTTTTTTTTTATGTTATGTGAATCAGTATAGGTAGCGGCTAAAAACAATAACAAAACCGAAATAAAAACAAAATGCGAATTACAAATAATGAAGTAAACAAGAAAGATAAAATAGCAAAAGGAAAAACTAGACACAAAAGCTCAACGAGTTGCAGAAGAGAAAAACCAAAACAGAAACTCAATTCAACGCAGTAGGGAACAACAATAGCAAAATTGGTGCAGCAATAGTAGAGGCAAAAGCAGAGGCCGAAGCAGTATTAATGTTTACGGCAACAGTCTCAGCCACAACAGCAGCGAACAATCAGTCGCTCATTTACTCGTATGTGCTCGTCGTGAAAAACCAGCAAGCAGAATTGAGCCCCGAATACAATTGTCGAGTTGCCATAGAATCATTCTTTAATGCGCGCGCGAACTGCAAACAACAGTTTTGCTGAAGTGATATTATATAAATGTTAAAATATTTGAATTCAAAATTCAAATTATTTTGAATAAAGAATTAAAAACTAAAAACAAGTCAAGAATATAATACAATTTAATAAAATACAATCATTTACAAATAAATTTAATCATTGTATTAAAATTTAAAAGCATTTTAACGGAAACGGAACAAGTGAACGGCTTACAAAAAAATTGAAAAGGAAACGAAATTTTCAAGGATTTCATATTGCGTAAAAGTGTTCCGATATATGTGTTAAAAAGAAAAAAGAGGAATATGTAGATAAAATAAAATATTATATATAATTAAATTGTTTTTAATTAAAAAAAAATATATTTTCAAAATAAATTTAAGTGTTTAAAATAAAAAAATTTAATTTCTTTTTAAGAAGTTATGTATCAAGTGTTTAAATTTCTACTAAAGAAATTATTAAATAAAGCGCAAAACGAAAAAACCAACATTCAATGAAAATACCACAAAAAAATAACAAATATACACAATTTTCGAGGCCTACTAGCCCAAATTTTGAGTTTTAATTTAAATTAAAAAAAATAAATAAATAAAAAGCACACAATCCTGTCCGTCCAAACGGCAGCAGCAAACGTATAACACCGACAATACCGGCCGGCGTTTTGTGCCAATTTGTGTTGTTGTTTTTATTATACCGTAATACAAGCAACATACCAACAACATCAGCAGAACTGAAAAAATTTTTTGAGGTGCGTAACAACAACGACATTGTTTCATGCTTTCAATGTTGTTCCACTTAATTGTGTTGCTTTCTTTTCATGGTTTTTGTACGAAATTCTGAAGAATTAAAAACGATTTTTCGAATATGAAATGAAAATCTGCCTTGATAGTCAGAAAATTGTAAAGAAAATTGTAAAATCAAGAGAATTTAATTATTGCTCATAAATTAAATTCTTGTATATTTATTTTATATATTTTGCTTTAAAGTGTTTAAATATATTTTTTTTTTGCAATTGTCTATAATATTTAAGAAAATATCTTATTTTAGTTTGTGCACTAAATTATAAATTTTTTTATTAAATAATTAATCTTATCTCACAAATGAAAAGAAAAGTAAGAAATAAATTTTAATTTAATTTTAAATTTAGAGATATAAAAAAAGTACATATGAAGAATTCGTGAAATAAATTCACTTGTAAAAGTTTATCATTAACATTGTAACTAAATTTAAAGAAATTTATGAAAAATAAATAAAAAAAAACATTCATTCTTTTATTTAATATAAATGTTAAAACAAATTAAATTAGAACAAAATAAAAAAAAAAATTTTCTAAAAATGTTTAACCACTAAATTTTGGTTTGTCCAGTACCGAGACTTTTTATCTGCGACGCGACGCAATATAAAAAATATATCCTATCTTAAAACTATCATATTGGAAATGATTAATCCTACTGAAATGGATTTATTTCAATTAAAATCTTGATCAGTCTATACAGAAACTTTTCAGATATATATATAAATAGCCAGCTAACAGCACCAAAAACGAGAAATTTGTTGCAGATATATAGGAGTTGATTAAATAGATAATAAAATTAAATAGATAATAATATAAAAGTGCCAGCTAATAACACTACAAATATAAAAAACATTTTACAAATATAAATAAATAAGTTAGACTAAATAAAAGTCAAATTGCCAGCTTACAAGAACAAAAGTCTATATAACAAGACAAATAAAAAAACATAAAAGTGAATAATTTCACAAAAAGTTGTTCTAAAAACCTCTATATATCAATATAAAGAATATCAAATTAACATTTTATGAAAAATTAATACCGAAGCAAATTTATTTTTAAATATGAAATTACTAGTATAAAAAAATTCTATATAAATTCCATACAAAAATATTAACATACAGTATAATATTTATATAACATCTTACCTCTTCTTTTTTCTTGCTTTTAAAAATAGTCTGCAAATATTGAAAAATCAAATTTGTTTAAAAATATAAAATGTTGATAAGTTGCTCTCTTATACAAAATTATATAAAAAAAATTAAACATTGATATTGTTCTATAAAGAGCTTACCGGTAAAATTATGTTTCTTCTTCCTATATATACTTTTATTCTAAATATTCCTATTTTTATTTATTTCTTATTCATAATTTTTTTTTCAAAATTATTGATTCTATAACTGCTACTATATGTTGTAACTTAAATAATTAAAAAACTAAAAAAGTTAGAATATATATGGACTTATATAGGATACAAATGCTTATATAGAAATACATACGTGTTTCATATTTCACATAAACTAAATATTTTTTTCCAAATATTTTATGCTGCACACTAAATTATTAATTATCAATAATAAATTATTAAATCAATTATATGTATATGTATATTTGCATATAGAAAGTGAAATTCTTACTAAAGTTATTTTCAAAAGACTTTGTAATCTGAAACTGAAACTGAAACTAAAACCAACTCTTTTATCTTTTATTTTTCGACAGTATATTATGTTAAAGAACACTTTTTGTTAACTAAAAATTTAATAATATTTTTTTGTTGATTTAAGGAACCAATTGAATTAAAGAAACGTTTGGAGGAGGTACGTTTACTTGAATCACGTCGTTCAGCACGCTTAGCTGATCAGGATCGTGACACAGACTTTGCACGGCTTGCCGACATGGGTGGAGATCGTCGTAAAACATCACACAGCATTGAGGTGCCATTAACTCTGACGCCACAGCACAAGTAAGTCAAATTATAATTTTAATAGAAATAATTGTTATATAAGGACTTTAATTAACCGAAACCTTTTTACAACACACTAAAATATTGGAAACCTTAAAAAATACATATATTTAACATCAAACTAGACTATATGAACCTTTCTAGTAAAAACTATTTATCTCTATATTTCAATGTGATCTAATCTACCAGTATTTTAAATAGTGAAATAGACTTATGGCAATCAAGATGTTTCTTCGTTTAATAAAAATTTTTTGCAGATTTTGATAAATAAAACAATTTTTATTCTAAATCTGTATTGAAGCAACAGCGATTATCAATTTTACTATAGTAATCAAATACCTATATACACACCGGTAGAGGTATAATTTCTTGAATGGGAAACTTTTGTATTTATCATTGAACTCTACCCGAATTTTATATTTAATAACTGATAAACATACTTAATATTGTTTCTGATAAGGAATCGACCGGTTGGAGTTTGGATATAACTGGTATACAATCTACACAATCTACATGGTTCATAGTCATATTCCTATCAGAAAATCTTTCTGAATTTTAAATATTAGTTTATAAATTATTATTGTTTAATAATTTAACTAGTTTCAATGTAATAGTTTTAGTATTTTAGATTGATTTTAAGGTTTATTACTTTTAAAAGTTGACTCAATGAATCATCATCAATAGATAGTTCGACACACGTGTTTTTCGAAAGAATAATGAAATATCTAAAAACCATATTGATAATTATCGAAAGCCACTGAATTCAGAATAAACGCAGTTACTATACATATATATTTTTTCTTAGATTACTAGTGGGGACTAACTAAATAATGAGATTCGAAGTATAAAGATTTAAATAAACAGTATACGAATGAAATCACTTTTAAATGGAAAAGGCTGCCCAACTTATCCAACGTATTGAGATATTACGTTATATGTATTTACCCATATACATATGTCTGTTTGGATAATACAAACTCTTAAATTGAATCATTGAACCTAGTAATATTAACCTTTTCTTGCTCTCTCACTCATTATAGAACTTTACTTTAAATATTTTTAGTACGTATGTGAATATATGAATCATTCTCAATTCTGTTTTTTTTTTGATAACTGAAGTGGTGTTTCAGTATGTAGCTATTATGATTTAATTGTTAAAATGTCTCCATTTAGCATTTCAAACTGCTGGTTTTAATATATTCAAGTTTTGTGCTATGTGTTTTGATGGACTAATATAGTATGCTTTTTTGGTTATAGTGAATACAAAAATCATGATTCGATTTTTGTTGAGATAATGGTAGGTTGTATATAAAATATATACAAATATTATATAAATATATTAAGATAGAAAGATTTTTCAATTGCAGAAAATAATATTTGTTAGTATTTTCTACTATCAATCAAACAAAAATATCCGAACATTGCTAAACAAAATTATTCAGGCGAATTTATCTGTTAGATCTCAAGATCAACCTGGTGCAAGCTGTATAAGAAAAGTGCCAGTTAGCTGCTTCAAGTAAAGCGTAACCTGCTTAGCACTACGATATTATTGCTAACTAACTACGATATTATTATCACTGTGTACTAGAAAGACATACTATAAGACTGATTCTACACTATAATTTTTTTTGTCATAGCTGTGGCTTTGCGGATGGGGAGGAAACTGTACTCCACCATATGTATCAGTGTCCATCATTGGATACGAGAAGATTTAAAAACTTTAGGGCACTTTTTCTTATCGACTTAGCGACCAAAGCTGTCTACCTGTAATATTAGGAACTTAGTCAGATTCATGGAATTGTTAGGCTGGTTAACTTGCACTTGAATAGGGATCGTGCCTTTCGACTTTTTTCTACATGCACAAGATGAGTAACGCTAGTCCATGCTATCACAATAATGGGCCATTATTTGAGCTCAACCGCCATTCAAACCTTACCTAATCAGTATTTGTTAAATGTTGATTTTAGATACTAGATTATCAACAATCTAATAGTTGCAATGTCGAACTTTTATTTCAATTATTTTAAATGCATATATATTTGTATGCATATGTCACAAATCATGTTATTAACTACTATAATATAGTCGTACTTTGGTCTTGAATGAGTTCAAAATACCGGAAAACAACACTCATCTTACTTATATCTCATTTTAATCGAAATTATGGTTTTATTTTATTTTGTTTAAATTATATGAATCAAAACTTGAATATAAACTTTGTATTAAAAATGTTTTGTAGTTTGCGTTATGCAAGATTTGCGACGTCGGCGCGTAACTACGTCGCCAAATTATACGCTAAATATTTTTAATTAAAGTGCCACTTTGCACTTGATTGTGCCATTAATGAAAAACTGAATTTTCGGCTTCAGTTACTGCATACCATATACCGCATATTTTGAAGAATATTTAAATAATAAAAATAACAACATAAAATGTGTTAAAAGTTCTATTTGCTATTCTGTTATTTCAAAGATTCATGACGAGGGACGAGGCTATCTGTTAGTTATAGCCGAACAACATTTTGTGTTTGTATGCTAAAAAATGCGGAAATAGTAAATTAATTTATTTACTCACGCGTGGGCTCGCGACCTCTCTTGCTCACTCGACAATCACTTGAAAGATATGAGAATTTTATGCGTAAATTAAAACCGCGCGTAAAGAATGACGTTTGTTTGTTTTGTTGTCTGATTCGCTCACACATATGCGAAACTTGCGAGAGTAGTTGTAAGTAGTAAACAAGGTGCTTGCTCGTGTATCAGTTTTTATCGCTTAGAAAGTTATGGCTGCTGCAAGGGCTGCTGTGCCTGTGCTGTGCTTAAGGTTGTAGTTTACTGTTTGTAAATAGTTTTTTTTTCTCAAAAAAAAAAAAAAAAAAATAGAATATATCTTAATATTATAAAAAATACAAAAATACTAAAAACAATAATTAAAAGTTTATAAAAATATTGTTACGTCATATGTACGGAAATTTTTCTAGTTTTTGTTGATGACAAAATTTGTTGTTATTTTCTTTTTATTTTTATTTTTATATTATTTTGTGTTGTGATCATTATTGTTTATCATTTGTGGAAATTTTGATTATTTCTAGGAAATTGTTTTGTAGCGTAAATACCGGATCTCTGAAATGTGATGCCGCTGCCATTATCAAATGGTGATTTTTCTGACAAACTGATACGACTGTTTGCAAAAAAAAAACTCTTCAATAAAAATGAAACATTAAAAATATATAAAAACAACTTTTGTGTATTAAGATTTACAGTAACTACAAAAGTGAGTTATGTCGTATTATCGTCATGAATAAATCCCCGAATTCTTAACAATATTATTGTAGTTTAAAAAATCCAACCCTTTAGTCATGAACTTCCATTGAAAGCCAACAAACCCTTAGATCAACATCTTAGTTCCACTGTGAAATTATATAATATATAATGTAAATTTTTTTTTTTTAATTGTTATTTATTTTTTATTTTATCTTCTAAAAATCAATTTAGAACTAACAATAAATTATCACTGCTAATTGCTGTATTAGAAGAGAAAATAGATAATTAATTGTCCTTTTAGCCAAAGCTCCATCCAATTTCATTTGGATGTCGGGCATTATTCTATAATAGCCGGGTTTATATTGTTCCTTTTGAGTTTGGTTTCAATGCTTTGGGTAAGATTGCTTGCAAATGTATTTTGGTGGTTCCTGAGAATATAAATTATCCAAGAATCTCTATTAAGAGGTTGCGAAACATATGATCAAAATCGTATTTACTACTGAAATCATAGAATTCGAGAATCCGATTATCCGAGAATAATAAATATGTTAACAGGTTTCTCAATCTCAATATGTCGAAATGCAATTACCACTGAAAAAATTGTTAATTGCTACTTTTCAAAGATTGGATTAAAGGACGCTGACACTTGGAGATTTTGTTAAATGCAATTTAAGACTTTCATTATTACCATTTCTCAAAGATTGCATTAAAGAATGTAGACGTGTTGAGAATCAGTGAAATGCAGAATGAAACATCCATAAATCCCAACTATATAAGGTCCGATATGTTGAATCAAGAGACATTCTTAGGTTTATTTAGAGCCTAAACAGAGGGTAAGCTATCTAAGAGGACATGATGTTTATATAAGCTGGCTTATATAAGTATAGTAGCTTATATAATACAATAAATCTCGTAGATCGTGGTATCCTATTGTCAAATTTAGTAATAATAATATGATCTCATTATTATTTAAAAATATGGTATAGTCATGAACATTTGGATCAACAACAAAAATACTGGTAGATTGGTTGATAAATACCAAGATGAAGTGGAAAGAAGATCGAATCGTACTCAATTAGCTAAAATGTGTATTTTTACATTGACTGATCATCAAAAAGCAATAAAAACATGTTCATTCAAATTTTGCAAGTCCAAGATTGTTTTATTAAATTTATTTTTTTCTAATTATTTAAGTTAATATTAGATATATAAACATAGAAGTAAAAGTATTTTGAAAGTTGTTGGGAAAAACCATCACAACTAGTCTCATTCACGCTTTTGTAAAATGTACATAAAACTATTTCTGCAAGATGAAGGAAAGGTTTGCGATTTGTTATCTACATTTGAAATGTATGCAATACTACGATTTTTATATTATATATTATATATATCTATAAATGAATTTCATATTTTATTTTTAAATTATCTTGGTTCTGTTAAGTTGACCTAAATAATTGTTTTCATTTATTATTGCAAAAATATTATTCGAAATGGTTTTTTCTCAATATATTTTGATCCTTTAAGTGTGTTTAAAATATAGTTACAGCTGTCATTTCTGGCATTGCCCTATTGACCCTACTTATTAGATTTACCACACCAAGTACATATTTATAAATAAATTCTACGCGGTGACGGTAACACTCATTTATTTACTTGTAATAATCGCTAAAAATAGTTACCCTGGTACTCGATGCCATACATGCATATTGTTGAAACGCAATGTCGCAATACAATTGCATG